TTCAGCACTAGAAGATTTGTATGACTCTGATGCTGAAGAAGTTACTAAAGAAAATGTTGGAAATATTGACACTCTTTTAGATGATGCAGATATTGAAAACAGACATGCTACTTTTACATTTGCACCTGGTGAGGGTCAGCGACCACTTAGTATTTTCCAAGATAAAGATTCAGAGTATCTGTGTTTTCCTAGTATATTTTGCGGTCAAAGGCGTATTGATAATGAACACAGAAAAGTACCAGTTCATTATGGTGACATTGCCAAGTGGGAACTTCGAAGTCAAGATAGACGTGCAGCAAACAGTGTGCCTAACATATTTTTTAAATTAAAAAAAATACAGATGAAACAATTAAATGACAAGTCAAATTTAGCTGTTAGAAGAATTCAGACTGGTACAAACAAATTAACTGCTGCCCAGGCAAGAAATGGTGAATGCATGGATACAATTGTAAAAAATGATCAAGGTTACTATTTGTTCAAACAGCTGAGAAACAGTCCAGCTTACTTAGAATCCAGAAAGAAAGATGTTTATGCAATGCTAAGACAGTTAGGTATACCAACTTGGTTTATGTCCTTGTCTTCTGCTGATACCAGATGGACGATAAAAATGATTCAGTCAGATCCAGTTACTTGTTCAAGGTTTTTTGACCATAGAGTTCAAGAGTTTATAAATACTGTTCTTAAAAGTGATCATAATCCATTGGGTAAAGTGACAGATTATTTTTATAGAGTTGAATTCCAACAACGTGGATCTCCGCATATTCATATGATTGTGTGGGTTGAAAATGCTCCAAAATTAAATGTAGACTCAATTGAAGAGATAGCAGCATATGTGGACCAGTACTTAAAATGTTCAATTAACAATGAATTTGTTGGGGCATTGGTAGACATCCAAATCCACAAACATTCAAGAACGTGTAGAAAAAAACAAGATCGAATATGCCGATTTGGTTATCCATTACCACCTCTGCAAAAAACAATGGTGTTATTTCCTCTTGAAAATGACAAGGATAAATATCTCAAACAGTATGCAAAAATCCAGAAAAAAATGAATGATCAGAAACATGGATACAATATGTCTTTTGAGAAATTTTTGTCAGATATTGCACAGATGAATGAGGATGATTATATCAAATGCATCAGAAGTTCATTAAACTCTCCCAAAGTGTTTTTGAAAAGAAATCCAAATGAGATACGTGTAAATTTATACAATGATGTAGTATTGAAAGCATGGAAAGCAAATACTGACATACAATTTGTCTTGGATCCATATGCTTGTGCCATGTATATTGTTTCATATATAATTAAATCCCAAAGTGGTATGAGTAATCTTATGTATGCTGCTGCAAGGAAGCAAGAAATGGCAACCTAGATATAAAAAGGCAAGTAAGACACATTGGAAATGTGTTTTCAAACAGTGTTGAAGTGAGTGCACAGGAAGCAGTCTATCTAGTTTTGCAAATGCCCTTGACCAGAAGTACAAGTGACGTTGTATTTATAAATACTTCTGTACCAAACCAAAGAGTACAATTGTTAAAGTCAAAGTCTGCTCTTGATGAGTTGCCTGCAGACTCAACTGATATCATGTCAGATAACATCATAAAAAGATATTCAAAACGTCCAAAGGCTTTAGATAACTATTGCTTAGCTGATTATGTGTCACAGTTAGAAGTGATTTACCCAGATGATAAGGAAGATATAAATAATTCAGAACAAAATGATGATGAAAAACATGATGAAATGTCAGGAGATGAATATTTTGATGATTGCCAAAACATTTGCATACTGAAAAGTGGTATAAAAATCAGAAGACGCCGTAATTCAAAAATCATAAGGTATGTAAGATTTAATCGTAAAACAGATGAAGAAAACTATTATAGAGAAAAACTACTTCTCTTTTATCCCTGGAGAAATGAAGAGAGAGATTTACTTGGACACTTTGCAACACACAAAGTAAAGTATGAATCAGTCCAAAATGCTGTAAATGAAAAATGTGCATGTTATGAACATCATGTTGATGAGTTAGAATTAGCAAGAAATATGGCTGAAGAAGAATACAATGCATATGATGAAATTGCTCCTGGAACTCGGCAAGAAGAAGCAGAAACTGCTGAAGAAGAACCAGTAGAGTCAGAAACATTTATCTATTTCAATCCAGATAGAGTAAGTGAACAAAGAGAATATGACATTGGCATAGAAATTGGTTGTTCCATTTCATCTGCACAAATAAGTTCTAATGAAAATATTTTATCAGATGAAGAGTACAGAGCTCTTCTGCGTTCGTTGAACTCAAAACAGAAAGAGTTTTACAATCATGTTGTTCACTGGATAAAAACTAAAGATGCACCTTTATATACATTTCTTTCTGGTGGTGCTGGTGTTGGTAAAAGTGTTGTTATAAGAGCATTGTATCAAACACTATATAGAATGCTTAATTTGAAAGAAGGAGAAAACTCTGATGATGTAAGGGTGCTCTTGTGTGCATATACTGGAAAAGCGGCTTTCAATATAAATGGCTCTACTATTTCGTAGGCATTTAAGCAGAAGTACAAACAGTCTGATCAAACATTAACATGTGACAGCTTGAACACATTCAGATCCAAATATCGAGATTTATCTGTTGTCATAATTGATGAAATTTCAATGGTTAGTAATACTATGATGAGCTTCATAAATCAGAGACTGCAAAAATTAAAAGGCACTCGCAAACCATTTGGAGGTGTAAGCATTATCGCAGTGGGAGATTTATTCCAGTTAAAACCTGTAAATGGTGATTGGATATTTAATGATTTAAGTCATGATGCTGCATCTTGGTCCATGAACTTATGGAAAGAACTGTTTCTTATATACGAGTTATCAGAAGTAAAGAGACAAAAGGATGATTTACCATTTGTAGACTTATTAAACAGGCTGAGAATTAACTCACTGACAACAGAAGATAAAATGGTTCTTAAAGGTTGTGAAGTTGAATCCAGTGCTAAGAATTATCAAGTAAACTCCCCACATCTATTTGCTGAAAACTATTACATGCATATTTTCAATGATACACTGCTAAACAGTTCAAACAATCAAAAAGTGTCCATTCTTTGTCATGATTCTGTTGTTTCACCAAAATTATCAAAGGATAAACAAGAAGAGGCTATCAAAACATTGCCCACTGATCCAAACAGAACTGCTAATCTTCATTGTTCATTGGATATTGTTATAGGGCATGTTGTATGATTTAACTGTCAATACAAATACTGAAGATGGCCTTGCAAATGGTGTGTCATGTGTTGTAAAGTTCATAGAGTATAAACTGAAGGAAACACAACGTCCTAGTATCATATGGGTTCAATTTGTGGATTTGAAAGCTGGTTGTGGAACTAGATTAAAATATAAAAGTCGAGGCTTTTATCATGAACAAATAAATGAAAATTGGACACCAACATTTGATATCACAAGGACCTTTACATATAACAAAAAAACTTTTGAAAGGATCCAGTTTCCATTACAACCTTCTGCTGGGAGATCAGTTCATAGAGCACAAGGAACAACACTTGATAGTGTCGTGATTGACTTTATCCCAAAGAAAAACACGAAAAGTTCCTCACCTTCATTACGTTGCATTAAGTAGAGTAAAGGTCTTTTAGAAAAGCTTCACATTCTCAATTTTTAATGAGCAGGCTTTACAAGTTGATGAAAAAGTTAAAACAGAATGGAGAGATTGCTTAAAGATGCTTCTCTATGAATTGTGTTATGTTCCCTTGGAATCTATACATTTATTTTCAAAAATGGATTTTAAAAATCGCATTCAACAATTGTAGGTCATTAAACAAGCATTTCATTGATGTGAAACATGATCAAGGATTGTTGTCTTGTGATATTATTGGATTGGCAGAAACTAGATTACATGGAAAATGATAATGATACTTCTTGTCAGATACAGGGATACCATTTAATACGCAATGACCAGGTTGTACTGCATCAACATTCTGAAAGACCTCCACATGGGTTACTTATTTATGTCAAAGCTGATGTATTAGTAAAATCTGCAGACCGCTTTAGCTCCCAGATTTTTGAATTTGTTATTCTGAATGTTTGCAAGAGGATTAAGTGAAATGCAAGTTGTAGTATTGTATAAATCACCAAAAATGTCAGATTCTGCTTTTCGCACTATGCTGACAGAGAAACTCTTTCCACATTTGGTACCTCATAAGCCTTTAGTTATTCTGGGTGATTTTAATATTGATGTTTTAAATTGTCATAGGGGTGTTTTGCAGACTTGTATGATAAGCTTAACTGTAAATTACATCTTAATGAACCCTACAACTGATAATCTATCAGCATTAGACTTGATAATAACAAATATTGATGCCACTGTGGGTACAGTAGAAACTTACTGGTCAGATCACAAAAAATTATCTACTGTTGTACAGAAAGAATCTCTACATAATAAAATATGGTGCTAACCCAAAAACAGCCATTGCTTTACTTACCAGCTCTTCTTAAAAATTTCACCATTTTACAAGATTTCTCTTCAGATATCTTTGTCACTCAGACTGTATTTCAACCTAACACTCTAATTTCAAGTCTTTGTCTTTGTAATAAAAAAATGTTTAATTTACTTGTAGTCTTTGTCATTGTCTTACACTTTTGTACACAGTGACATTGGTCACAAAATATTGTGACATAGATTTTTATGATGTTATTGACGCATTTAACCATTTGTCAACATATTATGTCAACAAAAACTAGTGCAGATTTCAAACTAAGTTAAATAGGTTCAGAAACTAAGCCACCCGATCAGAGCTTTGGGAAACCTTTGTAAAACTGAGATCACCTTTTACCCAGTTTAATTGAAACTAGAAAGTTTGCCTTCACAAACTCTAAATACAGGCATTCACCCATGCCTCAGGTGAGCGACCCAGGGCCCTCATGTTTACCCTTGTTCACAGTCCGATTAAATTGTTACATTCTAACTTGTTAGTTGTTAAACAGTATGAAATAATCTTTTTCAGATTTCCAAAACTGTTCCCACCATTAAAGGAAGATTATGTAACAAAAGCTACAGTACAGGCCGTCCTTAACAACAGACATCAAATCACTCTTCCAGTTTATTTCTATATGATTCTCTTTTTTAGAAGGTAAGAAAGTAAGTAAGTAAGTAACAACTTTATCAAATGAGGTTTCTGATCAAGAGAAAAGGACTATAAAATAAAAATATTTCAGTGTGTACTGTACACAGACCTATACGTTTTTCTCTCCAACAGTCAGGTTTCAGGCATAATGATTGCAGTAAAACCTGGGATAAAACCCACCTTTGAATAAAGATCACCCTGCTAATAATGACCACTATTTGACAAACCTTCATTGATAAAGTAGAACATACCGTATAAGTACTTATTTCTGCGGGCTTAATATTCTGCGATTTTTGTTAAAATAAGGGGTTTTATATATCTGCGTATCTTATTTCTGCGGTGTCATCATTCTCGCATTGATGTTTTTTATTTCTGCGTTAAATTAAAGATATTTTTACAAAATTAACCGACACAAACAGACAACATTTCAAGATTTGTTAATGTAGCATGTATATAAAAATTTCCGGTTAACTTGCAGACGATTGATAATGTGTTTCGTCGTAATCATCATGTATTGATATATATACACGTAAATAAGCAAAAATTAACAAAGTGCGGTGACATCAGTTTTAATACTATATGTGGAGAAATATGAAGTGTGAATAATAATGGCAAACTCGCTCGTAGACACAAGATATTGTACAAATACAAAAGGGTATGTTTATTGCATCCGTCAAACTACAATAGTTTTATCTTACAAACAAAAACACAAGCTAATTAAGGGTGAGCAAAAATCATGAAACATGATATTTATTTAAACAAACACTTTTTTTTTCTATTTTTTTTTCTAAATTTAATATTTTATTCTGGACAGATATAAAAAGAAAAATTCCCATCTACAAAAGCTGATAACGGAACATGGTAATGTAATTAAACAATACCGGTAGTTGACATATTCCGACATATAAATCTGAACAGGCTCAATTTTCTGTGGTTTTTAAATCTGCGGTGTGGTTATAAACCGCAGAAATAGCAGAAATAAAGTTCCCGCAGAAAAAAGTACTCATTCGGTAGTAATCTCCAAATAATGACCAATTGTCTTTAAAATAAAAACAAATCAGAATCCGTAAAGAATGTCAAAAAAAAGGCTAAAATTGAAAATGGTGCAGACTCAGTTTGATTTAGCTTGTCAATGGATGGTAGAAGGTACCATCCGCGCCCCACCTAGCACTGGCTTAAATAGAATTCAAGATTAAAACATGAAAATGGTGAAATTTTAAATTTAGAAACATCAGCAGCAAGATGCATTCATACGATGGTTATCATTGAAACCTTCAATGTGAGATGTTCTTGCCATCCCATGAAACGCAGTGTATGGTCCCTTAGTAAAAAGAATGCGTGTGCCTTCAATAAAAACACAATGGGCGGAACTAAATAAAAATGGGATTAAACGGATTGGCTTCTTTAGATTCTTAAGTTTGGCGTCTTTAATCATTTCTAATTAGTTTTGTTTTGCTTATGTATATTTGGGATATTTCAGTGTACTACCCGTCTCATGTATGGTACCAGTTCAGAAGTTTATGGGACTAGACAAAGTGATGGACAATTTTGATTGGCAGAAGGCAGCGGGTTCGGACCTTACGTCTACAGACAAATTGTGTGATTCTTGAAAGGGTGCTATTTATATACATGTACATACATATTTTTATTTATATATAGGTCTCAAAAAAATGTTTATTGTCTCTTTAAAAAAAGATTTTAATAGTCAAAGGGTAAGCTTATTCTCTTTATTATTATGGAAAAAACAAACTTTGTTTTTCATTTTTAGTTGTATAGAGCAGATTTTGTCATTTCATTTATTATTTTTGAATTTCTATAAGAAAAATCAAATAGAGGAACAATCACAATACTGTTGTAAGTCCTTCTTCATTTCATATAAGTTATTGCAGTTTTGCTGTCAACTCTCAAAATGGTGCATATTAACAAATATGATGTTAGAAAACTGTTTTGTACATAGGTTTTTAAATTACTTTGCATGCTGATATTTTACTGCTGTCAATATGCTCTTTCTTTAAAGTGGATTGGTCTGCATTGGACATATTTTCCGTTGATGAAAAAAAAATAATAGAAAAGTATTATTTGGATATTCTTATAATTAAAGATAAGAAAAGTATCATTTGGATATACTTTTAATAAAAGATATTTCAAGATATTTCTTGTAACACATTGATACAATCCTAAGTGATTTAGTATGAACATTTATATCCGGAACAATAGCATTTTCTTCTAGAGCAATTTATTATTTTGCTTTTTATAAATATATGTCATATTGGTACATGTATTTCACACTTTACAACAACATCCATATTTAACTCTATTGTGGTTTGTTTGTTGCCACATACAACACTAAATACCTTCAACATAGTTATTATTAGTGATGGAAATCGGATGAAATTTGTCCCAATTGATCATCGGTTCATTCGGATTGGACATAAATGGTAACTTTTCGAATAAAGTCGCGTTAGAAAGAAATAGGGAAGTAACATTTCTTCCCAAGGCATAACATAGAACTTCATTTAGCACTTTTCAACACATTATATAGGCATAATTTTAAAATTGATTTTATTTTTCAATGGATGTCAAATAATAACATTCACATCACATTATATTACTATTGTTTACATCACGTATTGATCCTGTTCAACTCCAAATTGTCTCTGAGATGATTTTTTTGCGATCGGCGAGGTGTTCCTAAATGAAAATTACCATCTTTGATACTTTAGACATTTCGACGATGTCACGGAACAAATTTTTGTGAATTGATTATTGTCACTTTACATAACAGTAACTGATTATCGGCGACTTGCGACAATCGGAACATCACTAGTTGTTATTTTTGTTATTAGACAACTTCCAGTATTGACCAATTCATTTTAAAGGAGCTCCACTGAGGTTCACAAGCATGAATTTATAAAATAAAAAAAAACAACTTAACTGAACAACTGTGGCTTTTAAAATGGTAAAATATGATTAAAAAAAATAATCTAAAATTGATGTTTTACATGACTTATAACCAGATTTACACTTTTTTTTGCCGGGTTGCACACTGGTGAAAACCCTGGTTATAGTATGATGAATGTTGGACGGGTGGATGGGTGGTGAACAAATTTTCGTAGCAGTTTTTTTTTCAGTAGTTTTTTTTTTCACAGCCTCTTGATATTTGGCATACAGCATTGACACATGGTCCTAAACCGTTGAATTTGATTTCACTGCCTCATGATATTTGGTATACAAATGCAACCCGGTCTTTTCTGTCTTGGACCCATTTTAAGTTCATTATGCACAATTAAATTGATTTTTTCTGGATAATCAGAGTTGAATGAATGATTTGAAATTTTGCACACAAAGAATAAGTATAGAACTACTTCAAATAGTACAATAACCTGGAAAGAAAATATTTCCAGTCCCTTTATGTCAAAAACACCTCAGTGGAGTCCCTTTCAAGAAATGCTTTTTACTATTGTGCAAGTCATGTTTATGTATTTGATAGATATTTTACTTAAACTTATTCAGTACTACATGTATATGGACTACATTACTAAATATTATTGCCATTACTTATAGTAATATTCAAATTATGCAATAGAAATAGGCCAAATATTATTGTGTATACATGTATGCTAATTTGTTATGGAAATAGCCATGGAAAGATGCTGCAGATAATAAAAATTGATTATAGGCCATGGAAAAGCATTCAACATAACTATAACAAATTATGAAAATAAGCCATGGGAAGATGCTGAATATAATTACAATTGATCATAGAAATAGGCCATGGAAAAACATTTACCATTGATATAACTTACTATGAAATAGGCCATGGCAAAAGACTGCATATAATTGTAATTGTGGAAATAGCAATGGAAATAGGGCAACATTATTTTTAAATAACTATGTAAAAGGGCCATGGGAACGTGTTGCATATTGATATAAATAATTGTTGAAATAGCCATGGACATTGTAATTTGTTTAGTCATGAAAATACTGTAATAGGGCATGAAAATGAACTCGTCATTATCATAATTTAAAAAGGTCATGGAAGTAGGTCATTCACAACAGTTCTAACGTTGTTTTTTTTTTGTTATATTGTAATTTATTTTTATACAGTCATTTTCAACATGAAAGAAAATCTTCGGTCACAAAGGTGTGTCAATGATCAATAAAACATAAAAATTTGAATTCTTGCATAAATCAAATGAAAGACTTGAAATAGAACAAAATCTGCTAAGAATAGAAAGTAAGAAATATTCTCATAAATTATCGATTTTTTTTGCGATTCTAGCCAGATTCGAGTAAAAAGCATTGCCACACTTTTCATTCTTGGGTCATTTTGGAAACAAAATTAATGATTATCTGGAAAAAACAGGGAGAGGGAATGATTCGAAAATTTGCACACAAGTAATTGGTCCAGAATTACATCAAATCAGGTACACAAATCTTGGTCCAAAAACTTCAATGGAGTCCCTTTAAGGGTAGGATTGACTAACATTGATACGAGTATAGCACATTTTACATATACTTTTTATAAACTTCATGTGAAATACACATAGAAAATTATTCGTTATTAATCTGTAGGAGTACTTATTTTACAAATATTTAGTATTTATACTGTATTTACAAATGTATTATATACACAAATATGTAACAAAATGATATGATACTTTTGTTTAGTGTTCATTTTTAAATACATATATATACCTCAGATCAGTTATATGGGTGTTATCTAAAAGATATATTGCCATATAGGCGACTGAGTTATTCTTACTAATATTATGTTTTTAAAAAAATCAACTATATACATGTATTGAATGTGAGATAATTGACTTATTGTATTTTTAAGAGTCATCAAATTACTGCTTGTGCTGAACTGTAATGAATTTTTCATTTTTGCAAATTTAGTGAGACTGCTTCAATAATTACATAGTGCTGAATTATTATAAATATATTATGAATTCTTGTACTTAAAACCTGTAATATTTATCTCAAGTGGACATTATTGTTTTAAATCATTAATTAAAGCTGCATGCAAAATATTTCAATAAAATCAAACTTGAAAAAAAAATATTCTGAGATTTTCAGAAAAGTAAAAATTTTCAAGATTCCAGTAATAATTCACAGGCTTATACATGTGCAATAAATGACTGTTTCTGCAGTATTTATCACCGTATCTCTACTGCGTGACTAACAGGGTAAGCATTTTCTTTGCATATGAGGTCAAAAGGTCAAGGTCAACATTTTGTGGACATTAAGAAGCTTTTGTTTATCAAGTTAAGGACTTGACTTAGTACTGGATTTGAATAAGATAGTAAAATGATCAATGATGTTTATGCATTATTTATACTTTTTTTAATCCATTTCTGATTTGTCTAAGGTCTAGGTTATTTTATTTGAAGGCTATTTACACTGTGATTTTAAAGCTGAACACAAGCAAAGGTTCGAGTCCCATAACTCTAATATGGATTTTCACTGAATTTTTGAACTTAGAAAATTCTACATTATTCAAGCTCTTGTTTTACTATTGAGCACTGAGAATAGTTGAGCATGCTGGCCTACTGACAGCTCTTGTTTATTTTATATTCTAAGTATTAGATACATGTATATATTTTGTCTTCCTTATGTTTTTCAAAAGGTTGTCAAATTAAAAATTTTGACACTGAATTACTTAATTATTTTTTTTCAGTTACCCTTATTGTAGATTTTTTTGTTTGTTACTGTGTTGTATTTTAGATCTATAATATATAATAATATATAACTTAAATATTTGGTGCTTTGTTTTTTTTTGTTTTTTTTTTTTGTTTTGTTTTGTTTTTTGTTTCTTTTTGTTTTGTTTTTAAATATTAGTGTAGAAGAAAATTGAATAATTTTAATATGGTGCTAAGTTTTTTAAAAAAATTTATGGTATAAGAAAATAGAATTCTTTTTTATACTGTTGCTTTTTTGTATCAATATGTATTTGTTTTCTATTGATTCTGTGTAAACAGTATTAATTTAGGTATAATAGTATTAGTTAATTTTCAAAATATTTATTTGTGGATATAAAAAATATTATGAGCCACGCCATGACAAAACCAACATATTGCGTTTGCGACCAGCATGGATCCAGACCAGCTTGCCCATCCGCGCAGTCTGATCAGGATACATGCTGTTCGCTGTCAGTTTCTCTACTTGTAATAGGGTTTGTAAGCGAACAGCATGGATCCTGATCAGACTGTGCAGATGCGCAGGCTGGTCTGGATCCATGCTGGTCGCAAACGCACTATGTTGGTTTTGTCATGGCGCGGCTCATATTATAACTGATGACAATCTATAACAATAGTGCATTGTATAGTTATTATCTAAATTTACTGTATAGTATTACAGTTTTGAAATGACATCAAATTCAACTGCAATAGGTTATCTTCGGTATATGTTTTGTTCGGAAGAGAATATCAATGTGTGAATATTTATACAAAATGATGATTATCAATCTTTTTCTTTTTGTGTGTGTTTTTTTTTTGTGTGTTTTTTTTTGGGGGTTTTTTTGGGGGGTTTTTTTTTGGTTTCTCCCTCTTTTTTGTTCACATTTAAACACTTTGCTGGTGTTATTTCCCCCTTTATATTCCTGAGATAGTAATCTTTCAGATGTTACACCACACCATTAGTTCTGATAAATGAGGAATGATTATGACTGATAACGTTGAAACAAAGGTGCTTTTTTTTTAAATTAAAGGTTTTTCACCTTTTATGTGTACTTAGATATAATTTATGCAAACTTTTTAGGTTAATTTTGTTTTGTGCTTTTGTAATGTATATACAATTGTATGAAAAAAAATATGCTGGTATATTTCCTTATAAGCCAATGGGGCATGAATGAAATCATGCTAAACGGTTTAAATAACAGCATAATATGTTGTACTCGAATACTTTATTCTGTTTTCTGTTTCCGTACAATAATCATGTGTGTTAAATGGCATGGATTTTTAAAAAATGATTCATGAGATGTTTTTAAGATCCCTTTAAAGAGTCGACCCTAAGATTATGGAAACCATATAATTTAACTGTT